TGATAGGCTCCATGTTCCTTGAAGTCAAAACTGTGGGCATCGGGATTACCTCATCGACTGCGAAAATTTACTTTGCGGCCGGCTGCTCTCCGTAGACCGTCTTGACTCCTCCCGATGTAGGGAACTTCAGCACCTGATGTAAGGTTGAGGGTATTGCCTTCATGTTGTGAACCCACGGCCTTCCGAATAGGGCATTGTACCTCATGTCTCCTTCAATCACGTAGAACTTTGTCTCTTGGATCGTCTCGGTGGTGTTCACTGGCAGGGTTATCTCCCCTTTAGTGGTTTCGCATGCCATGTTAAATCCGTTCAATGCCCGGACCGCCGGCACTACTTAGTCCTGTAACCCCAACTGCTCTACGACCCTCGATCTGATGATGTTGGCCGAGCTACCTGGATCAATCAACACACGGTTAACTCGAGATTTATTGATAAGCACGAATATTACCAGTGCATCATTATGTGGTTGCACGATGCCCTCGGCATCCTCGTCACTGAACGAAATGGTTTCCTTCGGGACATAATCTCGGGTGCATTTTTCCATTGTGATAGATACTTTAGTGCGCTTTATCATTGGTCCTTGAGGGATATCGACCCCTCCAATGATCATGTTGATGACATGCTGAGGCTCCTCTTGTTCGGCCTGTTTGTTGGCGTCCCTATTCCTGAAGTGGGTTTTGGCCCGATCACTCAGAAATTCTCGAAGGTGCCTGTTATTGAATAACCGGGCAACTTCTTCTCTCAATTATCGACAATCCTCGGTCGTGTGGCCATGAGTGTCGTGGTACTTGAACATCAAGTTAGGATCTCTTTGGGTAGGGTCAGATTGCAATGGTCGGGGCCACTTGGTCTCCTTGATGCGCCCGATGGCTAACACGATGCTGGCAGCATCAACGTTCAAATTATACTCTCATAATCTTGGTGCTTCCCTACACCCTAGCGGCCTGTCGATACCATTTTTGCTTATCAGACCTCGGCTAATGGGCCCTCGATCGTCTCTCTTTTTGTTCCTCGTAGGCTAACACCCGGATCCATTTCCCCTTCGATCCGTGCTGTATGGTTGGTACCGATCCCGGACCGGCCTTGGCTCATAATCGACAGCTCTCTTGGACCTGTCGTCGGCTCTGATGGGATAAACAAACCCAGAAGGGGCTCTGAGTTGGTCGTCCTCGACTCTGATCTATGACTGGTACCTGTTGTGGATATCGGCCCAAGTTACTGTCTGGTACTCTACCAAATTTTATTTTAGCTGTTGTGAAGCCAAGGAGCTTCGGGGGTTAAGTCCTTGAGTAAATTCCTGAACGGCCCAATTATCTGTGACCAGAGGTAGGTCCATCTGTTCCATCTGGAACCTCGACATGAACTCCCTGAGCATCTCGTTGTCTTTTTGTTTAACCTTGAAAAGGTCTGACTTTCTGGTCTCGACCTTGATGGCCTCTGCATGGGCCTTCACGAAAGCATTTGCAAGCATAGAAAACGAGTTAATAGAATTTAGGGATAAGTTGTGATACCATATCATTGCTCCTTTGGACAAATTCTCCCCAAACTTCTTCAGTAACACCAACTCGATTTCATCATCTTCCAAGTCGTTCCCTTTGATTGTGCATGTATAAGAGGTTACATACTCATTCAGATCCGTGGTTCCGTTATATTTTGGGATGTCGGGCATACGAAACCTTTTAGGGATCGGCTTCGGTGCCGCGCTCAGAGGAAAAGGCTTCTGGATAAACTTTTTGGAATCTGGCCACTTCAATATCGGGGGTGCTCCCAGAATTTGATTGACCCTGGAATTGTATGTTTCCACCTTTTTGTCATTGGCCTCAAATTTCTTTTCACCTGATTCCACCCGTTTCGTTAATGCTTCAAGCATTTTCATTATTTTGGGATTGACCCCGGACTTAACTTTACCGGTCTCTCGGTGATCTGCTCATTCCTTCGGATGTTCTCCCGAGACGGTTCGGGCTCAACTCTGCTGGGGGCGTGACTTTGATTCTGCAGCTGCGCTATCGCCGCCTGCTGAGCTTGCAACATTTCGAAGATTAACCGTAGGCTAGCCTCATCGCCTTCACCTTTGGGCGCTTCTCGAGCCATTGGTCGGGGTCCCCTGCAAATGCTGTTTTCGGGATCAGTTGGCAGGTTGGCATCGATGGCCACCTATGAGTTAGCATCGACCGGATTGTCAACTAGGACTCCATTGGGATCAGCAGGAGGTACCTCGTTGCTAGGCACCAGATTGTTTTTTTCGCCATGATGGCCAGACTCAGCATCAACGTTCAAGTGGGCAGACTGAGTGCAGCAGCTCCCCAGGTCGATGGATCATCATAGCGTGTCTTTGGCATTCATCACATTTTCGAACGAACTCCTTTGCATTTTTTTCCATGTCAATCCAGTAATAACCGACTCTGATTATTTTTCGAACTAGCGATTCGGCGCCCGAATGATTTCCACAGGTACCTTCGTGGATTTTCCTCAAAACATACTCAGTATCACCCGACCCTAGACATATTGCAAGTGGGCCATCAAATCTTTTTCTGAACAAGGTTCCATCTTCGGACAGGCTAAATCGAATCGCCTTTGTACGTATGACCCTCGACTATTTTGGATCCGAGGGCAGTTTACCGAATGTGAGATATTCCACTTATTCCTCCAATCCCAAGTTAGGCTCGTCGAGTTGATCTCGGCGTGGCATTCTTCTACCACCGATCTCATAAGTTGTACGACTTCTCCCGAGTTGAACTTGTCGTCTTCGACCGACGACCCCAAGTTAGCGAGGGCATCGGCCTCGCTGTTTTGATCCCGAGGTAAGTGTTGCAAAGTCCATTCTTTGAACCGACGTAATGTTAGCTGTAATTTGTCCAAGTATCTTTTCATTCATTCCTCTCTGACCTCAAATGTTCCATTGACTTGGTTTATCACAAGGAGGGAGTCACACTTGGCTTCGATTACCTCTGCCCCGAAGCTCTTGGCTAGTTCAAGGCATGCAATCATGGTCTCATATTGGCCTCGTTGTTAGTAAATTTCACAGTCTTAATAGATTATCTAATTATATTACTTGTTGGTGGCTTTAGTACGATGCCAAGTTCAGACCCTTTTGCGTTTGAGGCGCCGTCCGTGAAGAAGGTCCAGATTCTCGAGGAAGTTCCTGAGTTGAGGTATAGCCGGGGCCTTATTGCCGACACCATCTTTACTCTCTTTTGTATCTTTAGAGGCTCCGTAGACACTATGTGGGTTGTGCATGGGTGCTAGAAAGGTCAAACGGATTATGTCATATTTTGGATTTTGTTTCCACTAAATCTCAAAATGTATGTATTTTGAAACTTAACAGGGAAGTAGCAAAATGAAACGGTTTAATGTAGTATGTATGAACTTCCTTCTGTCTAATTAAGGAAATCACGTCTTTTCTTGATCATGGGTTAATCGGGTAGAAAGTATCTAACATGCTTGCTCGGCCGGGTTCACTCGGTTGAGCGCCGGTCGCGCTTCCCGAGGATGGGCGTGACACTTCCTCTCTCGTTAATTACTGATCTGTAACCGTCATCGAGCGAGATCCGTGCCGTGATATCCGGTCGGTTGCGGATATCATGGCCTTCTATCAGTCGCCCATAACCGTTCATTCTTTTTTTGAAGTCTCAGAAATCGTCTCGAGTCCGGGGTGCGTCGTTTTATCAGGTCCGATGGCGAGCATTCCGTTCACTTTTCACGGGCCTCGATACAAAGAGTTCCCAGCTTCGATTTCGATTTCGATCTCATATATTCACGCTATTACTTTATTTGATTCACCGGGAAAACGGGGTGTGTGTTACCCCCGAATTCACCCGTATACAACGTTATTTTTAATAAAGTATTATCTCTAATATTAGTTATATTATAAGATTTTATATTATCATTTATTTATCGAGCTAACTAGCTAAATGGGATCAATATACATTATGTTTAAGGACCTATATTTTCTTCTTTAACTTTTGTTCAATAACTCACATAATTTAATAATTTTACGTAATTTTTTAAATTATATACTTATTAATATAGGGTACACGCATAAAGTACCCGAAGACAAGTTGCAACTAAAAAAAAAAGAATATGATCAAGATTGCATGTATGACAAAATACAATTATTAACTACTTTTTTATCGAGTGAAAGGTCAAAGTGTGGGTCATTTGTTAAAACAAGCAAACCAAGGAGATATTTTTGTCCTCGTTACGTTAATTATTTTGCCACTTTTCCCACGGGTCCAGTCGATACCATATTTGCATAAATCAAGTTCTCTAGAAGTCTTTTCCAAATATAGGAATACGTAAAGTATTACTATATATATTTTTCTACTATATAGAAATGGAAGTTGGGGTAGGACGAACACTGCTATATGTCATTGGGAGTTGGGGTAGGACGAACATATATGTCATTGTACTAAATTCAATGTGAATAGTACCATGTGCTTGGTCCATTTCATTAAATGAATACATGGTTATTTGTCTATTATACCCTTGACCAATAGCATTAATTACTTTTATATTTAGGGTAAAATTGGTAATTGAGTTTCTTTATCCTATTTATCATTGAACACGTGTATTCCACTTTTCAGTGCCTATTTTTCTATTGCGACACTCCAATAGTACAATCAAGAAACCCCTACTATGATCACTGATCATCGCTATTTGTGAGACCTTGAATTCGTTTTCTTACACACTTTTCAATTTGGTTCCAAGTTTTCATTTCTCTGTTTCTCAATTTGTGTGAGTTTTTTACTTTTTTTTTTCTTTTCTTAATCACCCCTACTTCTTCCATGCCTCACTTCTTAGTTTTTATTTGAATTGCTCCATAGTGATTACTGTTTGTATATGGCCTCTACTGAATCTATGGTTTCTGGTAAGAATTATTACATTTTCATTTCTTTTCTTTGTCTGTTGCTAGATTTTAGAAATTTCAGGAGTCTCTATTTTGAGCCCTAAATTCCTCCTTAAATGTTAATGAAAATATGTGCAATTTGGGTCCTTTCGGNGTACTTTATTTCTGATAGGTTTAGTGTTTCTCGATTCTTTCTTTGATTTTTGCATTTGTTTCTTGGTAATGAGAATTTGATGGATATTTGTTACTTTTTCTATTCTCTTGGATAGGCTCTTGCTGGATTTTATACATGCATGCCACTATTATTTCTATTTCCACATGTATGTTTGGAAATAGATATGTAGGTGCATGCTTGAGATACATAATTGTTTCTAATTTTAGTTGAGAAAGATGGTACTTTGAACTGGAGCCCAAGTTCCGTTCTTGGAGCAGTGTTATTGGACTTTACCATTTGGTCTCTTGGCATGATTATTCTTCTTCTATATTTTTTATGTAGTACTTGTGCTCATTGCAGTTCTCCATTTAGCAAGATTGAAGCGAAATACTTTCGGAGTGTTTTAGAGAAAATATTGAAGAAAAGCAGTTCCGCAACCAGGATTGTTTTTATTTCCTATCGATTTGTTTTTTTCAGGATCATTGCATCGATATTTTTGTTTACCTTTTTCGTGGATTTTACTCTTCCTCTTCCAGTAAGGTTATCCATCTGTTGTATACCTGTTTACCCGAAAAATAGATAGAGTTGAATTTGTACGTAGTTCTAAGGTTATGTGGTATAACTTGACACAAATCGTAAAGAGTAAGTAGAAATATCGAATATTGACTATAAGAAAAGATACAAACCCAGTTGAAAGGAACATGATTTGTGAACAAGCAAAATGGAATTATGTGTGAAGCTAAAAAGGATAATCTCCCAATATGATTATGTATCAATAGTATTCGAGTTACAGTGTATTGATAATGTGATCCCCTTACAGAAATAATAGTCATCCCTCTTATAGTGGAGGGATCCTACTTTAGATATCATAAAAAATACATAGTGGGAAACCCATGATAAATCAGCTTTTCCCTAATTTCCGCCGAGATTCTCTCTCTTAGTGCGGCTTTAACGGCTCTTGTCTCTTGGCTCGATCTTGATTGGACTCGGTATTGGTCGGTTTCCAGGTTTAGAGCTCGATGCGGGTTTGAGCTCGATGCCGACTCGGGGCCCAGCATTGATTCGGGCTCGGTGTCGGTTGGTCTCTGGCTCTGAAGCTTGATACCATCGCTTCTCATCATAGCTCGATTTGGACTCGAGCTCGATAATGATGTCGAACTCGGTATTTAATCTGACCCCGAAACTCGAAGCTCGTTCGTGCCTTCTTCAAATCTCACCTCGATATTATGAAGACGCTCTTCGATCCGTCTTCACCGATCGTACGAAGGTCGAAACGGTTTTGACCGTATACAATACCTTTTAAGTTTAAAAGATTGAGCTTTCAGGTTGCTTACATATCCCATGCATGACAACTAATTTGTATAGAGGATTCATGACAATCATGGATTAGCAGGTGCTTCAATATGTTTATGGAATTCTATTACACTGCCAAAACGTAAGCAAATGTTTCTGAACTCTCAAAATTAATTTAGAAAATAGTTCTTTTGAAAGAAAATGGAAGATGTTTCCTTTAGTACTTTTTTTGTTTTGTTCTTTTAACACAAAACATGCTGTAAACAGAAATTATCTTTTTCCTTATCGCAACAATGATATTTCCTTGGTAGAGACCATTCTCATGGCAATGCAGCATGTATCAACTGGAACTCATTTCTCAATCCATAGCCAGTAGAAATAGTCAAAGGAGTGTGAAAATGGTAATTCAAGCGCTCATCTAAGGTATTGATACTTCTTTTAAAAGAAAATCTATATATTAAGCTCATAATATATTGGAGTATAATTTTTCTTGGGGTAGCTTATAGCCTGTTGTTCACTTTTAAGACTTTCCTTCAAGACCTCTAACTTTAGACTGTGAACATTGTCAAATCTTAGCCTTCTTGGGTTCAAATTTTCGAGCTAATGTAATTTTTTAAGTATATATGCTAACACAATTTAAGTTTTATTTCCGTCCTTTTTGATATACACTGAAGTAGTTATGTCTATATATATCTTGAGACCGAATACAAAAGACACTAAGAAATTTTTGAGACATTGCAAAACAGAATGACTTAATCGTTCAATGGCTTGACTATATCCTTTCGTAGAGTGGAAAAGGTGAATTTACTCGTTTTCATCAAATGAATTGTTCCTAAGGCAAAACCAAGTGAAGTTACTTTCAATATGATGTTTGAAAACATTGATGAGAAGTATATTTTTTGGCATTTGAATGTGTTTGTCAGTTGCCTTTTTTTACTTCATATTTGTTATGATCTTGCTGATGTGCTCAAATATTCCATCCATTATTTTTTTTATTATTTATTCTATTGGATTAGCTTAAGAGATAAGTTTAATTTTATGATACTTCCAGTTTTTTTTGCTTGAAAATGTGACGTTATCTTCTTTGAGAAATTACTTTCACATCACAATAGTGAGCTGTGAGCAGTATCCCTTTATTGGGATGGAGAAGGGAAAAGGTCAGTGCAATACCCTGCTTCCTATTGAGGCTTTGACTGCACAATTACTCTGTAGTGGAAAGGAGGCAAATATTATTCAAACTTAAACCTTTGTAGTGGAAGGAAAATAGTAACTCTGTACAACTGCTGCTCTGGATAGTTTATCCCTTTGTATGAGTGATGAACTAAAAACATTCTGTTATCTTTCAACTTTACACTTTTTTGTATATAAACTATCATGGCAATGTAGCTATATCTTTTTTTAATTGAATGTAGCTATGCTAATAAGTGAACTATTAAACTTGTTGGAGTAACTTGGACCAATTATATAGTATTAGTTTTCGATTCAATGTGTTGAACTATTTTAGTGTTGGGCCCGTGCTCTGCACGGACATATTCTTGCTAGTTATTTTTATATTTTAGAAGTGGCAGTTGGGTGGGACGAACACTGCTACGGTTGATGGTACAAAAAGCAGTGGAAGTTATATTTTCTTGATATAGTGGATACTTTAGGAATAAATTAGTAATTTACCCTTAGTTTAATGCGTGTACCGATTTCGTGTAAGCACGTGTTGCCCTTTTAATTCTCTTCCTTTTGTTCACCATCTAATCCCCACTTTCTTCTCATTCTACTGGAGTACTTTTCCCTTCCCTTCTTTCTGTCACTTACCATATCTTCTCTGTTACTAAACTTTCTTCGCAATTGCTGCATTCATTTTGCTCTGCGCTTGTGAATCTCACCTCTGTGAAAAAAAAGCTCGGTAATCTCTCTTCGCTGTCTGCATCTTTTCAAAGTTTCTCCGTTTGGATCTATTTCGGTTATGTTTCTCAATTTTGGTGAGTTTTCTCCACTTTTTTTTCCCTTAAATTTGCCCAACTCTTTGTGATGGAACTTTAGTGGCATCTCTGATTTGCACATTCATGTTTGAAAATAGATACCTAGGTGCACGATTTTGGATATTTGATAAATGAAAATCTATTATTTTTTGGGTAATCAAATTTAATTAGTTCTTTTCCTCTTCGTATGAAAGTTGCAACAGATTGTATATTGAAAGGGATATTAGTTCTTTTTCTTTGTTGATCGGCAAGTGATGTTCATTTAACTGAGTGTCCGAATCTGGTTGTGAGAGTGAAGTTTTGAGTTTGATAGTTCATTTTGAATAAAAGTATGCCTTATCTCATGTGCTTTTCTTAAATTTTTCCTTTCGTACTTAAACATATGGTCTTGGAAAGTAAATTCTTCTCTTTTGGCTTTTCTATTTTCTTGCTTGCGAGTTACTTGGGTAATATGATACTTCATTTTAACGGCTATCAATAGTATATCATTTTGCACAGTACTGATACATAAGGTGTCTGATGATATGCTTGAAACAACTGAGTATTTTTTGTGACTCTTTACTCCTTTTACAGGTCCTACAGCATACTCACTTCGCATCTGGAATCCAGAAGGTACATTATTAACTTCTAATGGACAATATAGGTGTGCGTCGACATTTATTATTGAAGTAATCTACTCCCTAAGTCCCGATTTATGTGACACTTTTTGCTTTTCGAGATTCAAACTTTTAAATTTTGACCGTATATTTGGACATAGAATCTTTAAATTTTTTGAAATAAAATTTACATATTTGGAAACTATATAAAAAGTACTATAAGTCACAATAATAAATAATTTAAAATATTTAAAAGGCATATGACAAAATTGCGGTCAAAGAATAATTCGTTTGACTCTCGAAATCCAAATGCCTTTGCATAAATTGGGACGGAGGGAGTATTTGATTGCATGTGTATTTCTATTGCACTATTGTTACTATTTTGTCAGACTTTTCGTTTAACAAGAAAAATTATATAGTATATAAATTATAGCTTTTCAAAATTATACCAAGTAATAGATATCGATTTAACCAAATTATAGAGTGCTCAGAACAAAAATGACCAGAATCCTAGAAACTGCAAACTGAAAAGTGATGTTCAATCAGTTTATGCCTTTAGCATTTGACATAATATCTTTCTCTCTATTGTCCTGTGTATTCTCTCCATTGAAATTGGAGAGCGTTGCGCCTTTACAAATGGAGACTGCTCATCAGTCCAAGATGATCTTTTATTTCTGTTGCATTCCCGTCCTCTCTTCACCTTCCTCTTGCATTTGCTCTCTTCACCCCTTCTGGCGTTGATTTTTTGGTTCTTTTAGTTGATTCTCCGTGCTTCGCCATTACAGTTATTTATGTCAAACTTTCAGGAAGGTCATGTTGTGCGCTAGAAATATCTTTGCGAGTATTGTGAGACTTGCAACTTATCAAGTCCTTGGAAGCATACGTGAAAGGCAATACGGCAAGTGCTAGCTACTTCTTAGCTGGTGCCAAAAATTGCCACTGAAAAAGTTTGATAGGATGACCAAGAGGAAGCTCCAAAAAAGAAACCACAGACAATTCATGATCCTTTGTTCACTGATTGTAACAAAATCAAGATTAAAAAGAGGAAGAGGAAATAGGAGTGTCAACAAAAGGTGAGGAGCATAAATATACTCTTCTATTGAACTGCATAGTCTTTGAAATAATCTAGGATGAACATTCCTGAAACAATTATGGTACTTGTATTATATAGGGCATGCAAATAATTTTGTTATTGTGTTACCATTCCTATTGAGGCTTCTCGCTCATTATCTTTTGGACATGTTAGTATAGCTTTCAAATGGTTGTTGTGACTTAATGATGATTTTGTCTATAAATGATAAAATGGTTCTATTTTCATAGGCTAATAACCCATAATCTTATGAACTTGCTATTCACAAAAGTGGTAATCACATAGGATTTCTCTAGCTTTGAATCTTCTTTAAAGGTTTCATATATTTGTGCATGCACATGATGACAGATCATTGATGGTGCTGACTGTATACTGAGCCCAAGTTCATTGGTAACTTGTGGTCTCATTAAATAAACTTCTCATTGCTCAAAATGGATTATCCATCTTACTGCTTTCCTGTTGTGTTACAGTTGCTAAAAAGAACATGAATGAAAGACTTTGGTAGAGTTCTTCACAATAAGAAATTTAATTTATGAGATGTAACTAAGGGGAAGTTTATAAGTTTTTTTATGAGGAGCATCAGTTTCACTTCACTAACATTGTTAGCCAATTTATTTGTGTAAGTTAACAGCTGTGTACAGGGATGCAATCAGGGAACTAATGGTGTAGTCCTTGGAGTAACAAGCATGTCCAAATTATGTCGCCTTTCTTGGTGGACGCAGTATCAGTCCTTCCTGTCTACTTTCATTTGACATGACACCTCATATGATCGTGTAGTCTTTTAGATGATCTGTGTGTATTATTCATAGAGGGTGCCTTTTATTTTTTATCTCGAAACTGACAGAAACTGCCATAGTTCATTTACTTCCTTTTGTGTTAGGTTGTTTTGTCATTACTCAACCATATATATATGTATTTTTTTGATCAGTAATCATGTTGACTTATTTGAATTTATGAATGATACAATTCTAAGATTTTTTACACTGGCATATGTTTATTGATCATGTTTCCATCCTTTGTGCTCTAACAGTTAGTAAGAGTTACGGTGAGGGACTTAAAAGTTCATTTCTCTTATGTGCCTTAAACCCATGATGCATGTTTTCATCCACCAAGGCTTTTTTATCTTTGACCTAATCTTTCCTCGTGTAATGACTTATGTTTTGCACTGTGGCAGAGCATTGAGCAATTCTTCATGACTGTGGAGAGAGAAGATTAGTGACACATCTTGTGAATTGTATGATGCATTCGCATCTTCTTGGGTGTTTTTTCTGTAGAACATGGTCTTGGCCTACTTATCTCAGAGAGAGAAAGTTGTCGTTCACCAATTCATGACCACATTCCTTTCAAACTTAAGCATTTTGATTATTTTATCAGTGTATATACTTATTGACACTTCTGAGCTATCAACTACGGATTTTGTTCTTGTGTAAATTATATTCTTCTGTGTTTGAACCAATGTAGTACTATTTTACAGAACGATTGTTGTTATACCTAGAGTTGATAAACTAATTTAAATATTTGGTGGTAGATTGGATATATTGAAAACTAACTTCCCATTTAACCTTTTTAACTTTTCCATATCTCATACTTTCATTGCTTTTGTATATGGACTAAGCGAATTGAAAAAGAGTATAACAACAATGATGTATAACAACATTTTACATTGTATGTCCAATGATGTATAACAGCAACGTTAACTGTTGGGCCCGTGCATGCATTAGCTAGTTACTTGTACTACAAGAGAGAATCCTTATTTTCGAGTTGTATGAGTTCTATGGAAACCCAACCTACCACAGGTTTTGTGATAAGTGAAAGCATTCCAATTTGCCGGATGAAATATAACAATTAACAAATGAAACTCAAAATGCATATTGTTTAATCATGGCTAATTGTTAAATAGGGTTTATGCAAGGTATATTCATTAAATGACTTAGTGTAAACAGTGTGAACAAGTTTCTACCCATTAATCCCCAAAGGAAATTATTTCTTTGGATTTCGTAAATAGCGGTCCTAGCCTTAGCGAGGATTACATTAGCTTGCATGACTTAGTTAGAAACAGAAGCAGCGGTTAATTTAGTAAGAATAGCTATTTTGAGCAAATTAATTTTCTATTCCTTGAGTCAATTAGAAGAAAATTGGATTCGAGAAAAAGAAAAGTCAAGCTAAGTATTTTCGCTCTTAATTCATACATCTGCTGAATTTTTATTTTAGAATTGGCATGACAAAAAACATTTCAGAATATGGGGTAAAAGTTCTCTAAAACATTCTTCTTCCTTTTTAGGACATTTTTAGATGTTAATTGTGTCTTGAATTTTATGGATCCTAGTTATATTAGATTTTCTAATATTTTTAGGAAATTCATAATCCCTATAGGTTTGGTAAACTCATTATTCTAATAGATTTGGGGAAAAAAAACTACTGCCCTTGCCATTTTAGGATTGAGAAAACTTTTCTCTTATAGGTTTGGGATTACTTGGGATCTATGTATAGGGATTGCAGGTGGAAATTTTTTGTACAGTGTTTTTCTTCTCATTCGTAGTGAAAAACTGTCTCTGCTTCTACCCAGGATTAGGCTTAGCCGAACCTTATTAAATTCTTTATTTTTTTTCTTCTTTATTTGCGTCGTGTGTGATTGTGTGCTAGTTAACTCACAGTCTTCCGCAACATTAAAAATACAATACGCAAGTTGTCAAGTTTGAAATACAAAATTAATACAAAAACTCTTTATGAGAGTTTTCACTTTTGTATTACACAGGAAAATACAAATATTATGTTTCACACCTAAAATCAATAATTTGTGTCTTACAACCTTCGATAGTCTAAACAATCCAAAAAAATACCTCAATTTTTTTGACTTTTTCATACCTCAAATAATGTTAATTTTATATTATTATTTTTTTGAAGCACCCTACCAGGTGTTTATGTAGTTTCATCAAAAAAATTCAAAAGTGCATTACACTCGATAAGTATGACTGACATTCAACTAAAATTATATCATTTGAACGGTGTTTTGCCTCATATTTTGTCACGCCCCGACCTCGGGGAGTGCGACCGACACTCGACCTAGACATCCCGGTCAAGCAAGCCTACATGATACCTTCTACCCAATCTTACTCATGAGAAACTTAAAATAAATTATAAGAGATAGATAGAGAGGGGATAAAAAAGTTAAATATCATGTTTCATTACTTACAACAACTGCATTGATGATTACCAAAAGATTACAAAGTGGAATACTAAATAACTACAACATTTATAGTCTATTTTCCCAAATCAAAACACCACCCACACTATCTCTACGAATCCTCTAAATGAAACAGAAGAGTAGTATGAAAGTGCCGGTGACAAGGCCCCGGCGATACCTCAAAATGTAATATGCAAGGAGCAAAAGACACAAGACCCCGAAAGGAAGTGAGGCTCACCAAGTCAGCTGAGAAGAGAGTGTACTTCTATCAATGATCGATGCCGCCTACTGTGGAACTACCCGTGTCTATCAAAGATGCAGCGTCCCCGGCAAAAGAAATGTTAGTACATGTGGAATAGTACTAGTATGTAAAGCTAAATGCCCTCTCATGGAGTAGAGTAACAGCATAAAAGGAGAGAAACATGAAATCAATGAGAATCTTAAATAATATTAAGAATGCCAGGTTAAGGGTAAGGTAAATCTTCAAGAAAATATCAATATTTTAAGTTGGGAGATCTTTATTACCGATACACCACCATGCATATGGCATGGAGTCCAATCTCGCCCGATCAGCTAAGCCGTCTCACTCCCAAAGTATGAGAATTGACATAGAAACACAACACTACCATGTGCGCAACATGGCGTCCGATCTCCGTCCGATCAGCTAAGCCGTCTTAACACAATGCCGTATAGTTCGACATGGTCTTTGCTAGCTATCAACTCATCCCAATCAAGAGGAATAATCTCAATACATCATAACAGGAACTTGTCCCTCAATCAATCCCTATACCGGTACGTATAGTTTCAGGCTTGGGCATTTGTAACCCAGCCTTCCTCGGTGACCTAACGATACTCCCAAAAACATTTATCATATAAAAGAATCACATTTGTTTCATTGATTTTCATACTTGCTTTCACTTTATTGGCACTCTTGGCCATAAATGTAAATCATTATTCTTGGCATTATGGCCACATTTCATAATTCATACTTTCATTCTTTTATTTGACATGGACTATAAATCATTTAAAGGCTCTTATAAATCATCCGGAAATCATAGCTTCAATTCAAGAATACATAAGGGCTTAGAACACATTGAAAATATTTACCAAATAAGAGCATAGTGATTTCAACGGAACTATGGATTGAGTTCATAATCATTTGATGATTTGATCATACTTGGACTATTTCCCAAGGAAGAGCATGATATACATATAGAAAAATTGAGACATGATTTGGGTAATTAGACATTCAATAAGTCAAATATTTGTGATGATTTAGCATAATAAGGACGAGAGCTTGGTCAAACTGCACTTGGAATTCATAAGGAACTCATGAAAATTTGATTCTATGGTAAGAGTTTAGCCAACATACCTCGAGAAAGCTTCTCTTAGAATTACTACAACGTTTCAAGACTCCTAGCGATTTCAATCTATAGAGGCACAACAAAATTGAGCCATAGTTAGAAAGGTGCTTATAGGTCCAGCTCATTTAAGCAATTTATCAAACACTAGGGTTGCAAATTCGACTATAAGGTCCTATGGTGGTGATTCTTCACCCCACAACCAATCCCCACATCAATAGTATCACCCATATTTTTTCAACTACCTCCCTACCACCTTTATTGGCACATGCATGCACAATTGACCAACTCTTATTCTCAAGAACCATACCCCACTACCTATATTCAGCCCAATTTCGAAATTGAGGGCTAGATCTAGGGCTAGAACCTTACCTCTTTAGTAGAAGATTTTGCAAGCTTTCCTTATTGAATTTCCAAGGCTTGAGTAAGAAATTGAAGTGGAAGATGTTGGAGCTCCTCCTTCTCTCTCTAGTTCCTCCCCTCTCTTAAAACATCAAATTTTTGCTCCTAAACGACCCCCCTATGTCTTTTATTAGAATTAGGTTGGGTTATAAAATGCACAAAATGGACCCTCCAAACTCAATCTGCGATCGCAAAAAGCACTGCAAAACAGGTCTGTGGTCCGCAAAAAGGACCGCGAAATCATCGTCCAAAAATTGGGCTGACCTGTTCAAGTCTGTGACAGATCTACAGTCCGCAAATCACTTCTGCGATCGCTAAGTGGATTGCGAAATCTCCCTCAAGAAAATTCTCATGTTGGTTCTGCGATGGAAGTGCGGCCCACGAAATGGTTATACGGTTGCATAATGTACCGCGAAATAGCCCTCAAAATTGAGCTTCTCTTGTTTCACTCCGCGATTGGTATGTGATAAGTGTGAATTTTAACCACTTACTAGTACCTTCTTACTTTAGTTTTAGTCCGAAAGTAGTGATTTTTATTTCCAAAACTAATGAAATTGTGTGAATTACAGGCATGTTGGAGGATTGGAGCTTAACGAAGAAATCTAACTCAAAAAGGAGTATCCAGCTTAACAAGGCAAAAAGGAGAAATGCAAGCAGAAGTGTGGTCCGCAGATGATTATGCGGTTCACAAAAATAGAGGTGCAGTCGTAGAAGATCCCTTGGAGCCTCAGATGAGTTTAGCAAAAGTGCGGTCCGCATACCAAATTGTGCGGCTGCAAAAGATAGTCGCACTGACAAAGTTGATAAGTTCAGAGAAGGTGCAGAAGACCAAGTGTGAAGCCTCTTGAAATTGTTGTCCGCACACTAAATTGTGCAGTCGCAGAAGCTAAAGTGCAGCCGCAGAGACAATATTGTGGATGCAGATTTCCTCTTAATGTAAGAGTAGAAGAAAAGTACAGTCCACACATGGAATTGTGCGGCCGTAGAATCTCCCGGAGGGCATTTTTGTCAGCAAAATTCTGGACAC